CCGACTACACCGGCCGCGCCGCCCGGCCCCGGCCCGACGGGCCGCACTGCGCAGATGCCGCGAGCGGTGGGCGGGGCCTGGGGCGCAGGGCGGGGCCTGGCAGTGGGACAGGGCGGGGCCAGGCGGCGGGACTTGGCTTGATGCTGCTCACCTGGCCGCGGGGCGGGACGGAGGAAGGCAGAACCTGGTGGTGGGGCCGGGCCTGGTGGCATGGCAGGGTGGGGCCTGACGCCACTCACCTGGCGGCGGGACAGAGCCGAGCAAGGCCTGGCTCCCGGGTCGGGCCAGGCGGAGGGGCGGAGCCGAGCATGGCTCTCACCTGGGGGCGAGGCCTGGCAGTGGGGCGGGCCCCCAGGTGCGTGCCGGGCGGGGCGGTGTTCAGGGCCCTGAGCCTCCGAAGGAGGGGGGCGGCGCGACTCGCACCGGAAGTCTGGCATTCTTGGAAGTTTCGTTTTCGCGCGGTGGGAGGACTTTCACGCAATGACTGGCCCTCCTTGTCCTTGAATCTAAGCAGCAGGGCGACCTGCGTCGCGCACGCCAGCCCGGCGGCTGGAGCCGGATACAATGACAAGGCTGTCCGCTGCCTGAGTCGTGACCGCGGAGACGCAGCGCCCAGAGCCTTCCCGCTTCCCGCGCGGACCCCGCCGCCGCACTGCGCCACCGCGGCCGGGACCCACACCTCGTCCACTCACCTGCCCTACCTGGCGAGGGGAGGGGGGGCTCTGCAGCGCCTGACCACCACCCCCTCCCTGTGTCTGCCCCCACCGCAAGCTGGAGAATTCGCCCAGCTGTCCGTGGAGGTCAGGAACCAGGCTTTCCCACGTCACTCGTGAACTTGTTTGACTTCTGTTTCACCCAAGATGCCCTTTGCGTGACAGGTTGGTTGTTTGCAGGAGGAGGGAGAAATAAAGGAAGCTTCGAAAACAGTCCTGACTCCTGCGGGTTTGAGTGCAGTACCAGGAGGTTGAACCTTGAATCCGAACCCCACCCGGAGCTCTGGCCCCTTCAACCTGCAGCTTGGCGCTCTTCTTTCCCCTCTTTCCCCGACCTCCCCCGCTCCTCTCCCCCCCCCGCCCCTCCCCCGTCCCCTCCCCACTAGCCCAGCCGTTCTTCCCTCCCCACCCCCTCCACCCCCCTCCATCCTGGTGTCCTCTAGCGAGTCACTAGGCGGACGTGGTTCCTCGAGTGCGAAAGCGTAGCCACTTCGAAATAAACCGCCTCCCCGAATGCTGTCAGGTCAAATGACAGGACGAATTACTGGAAAGCACTCCGTGTACTCTAACCTGCAGCACAATGGTTAGTTAGCAATGCTCTTTGGGATATTAGTGGCACCTTTTCTTCCAAATAAGATTGATACGTGGCTGTTAAAACAAAATTTTCATCTCGGATGACACACTTGGCAGACGCTAGAAGTTCACTGGCCAACTAGAGGGCCAATTTAGATACAGATACACAAAAGTGTGTCACCGCCCTTACCAGTTAGGAAGTATTGGGAAGTTGTTACTTTTGTTCGTGTTGAGTGTTCATGGTGCAAACAGTAGTGAAGCATTTCAGAAACAAGGAGAGACGTGCCGAGGAGTTAGCTAGTTGGAACACTTGAGTGGCGTCCCCTGGGTTTCTTCTACCTTGCCACCATTGACGTTTGGGACCAGATAATTCTTTTTTTAAGGGGGATATTTGGCAGCATCCCTGGCCTCTACCCTCTAAATGCCAGTAGCACATCCCCTCCCCCAACATGACAACCAAAAATGTCTCCAGAAAAAGCCTAATGGGTTGTCCTACCCCCTCCCTCACCAGAGAACCCCTGTTTCAAATGTTGTCTCTAGTGATGGTCACTGGGAGCTATCAAGAATGCACAGGCTGTGGAGGTCAGCCACAGAAAGGGCCACACTCCAGAGGAGGCCTTCTACTAGAAGCATCTCAACCACCTTCTGCAGCCTTGCATGTTAGCATCATGAATGTCAAAAATGGAGTTTTACATCACCCGTGTATATCTGCCAAAAAAGTTGAAAATGAAACTAGTCACAGGGGAAGAAATCAGACAAATCCTGATTGAGACACATTTTGCAAAACGGCTCCACCAGTCTCTTCAAAAAATCAATATCAAGAAAAACACGGATGGAGGCGGTGAGGGTATATAGCTCAAGTGACAGAGCTCATGCTTAGCATGCACGAGGTCCTGGGTTCAATCCCCAGTACCTCCTCTAAAAGTAAATAAATACATAGACCTAATTACCTCCCTCCCCTGCCAAAAAAAAAAAAAAAAGAAAAGAAAAGAAAGAAAAACACAGGAAAGCTAGGAGTCAGTCCAAACATAGGAGGACAACCATATCCATCACATGACGCTTGATCCGACACCAGGTTGAAGGAAAGAAACTAAAAAAGAGATTTGGGAGATAATTGGAGAATTTTGTATGGGGAATATATATTAGAGAGAGAATTAATTGAGTTAGTTAAATGTTTCACTGTGATGATGACTATGTTTGAGAATGTCCTCGTTCTTAGGAGATGTGTGATAAATTAAGTCAAGAGTCCTGGTAGCTCAGAAACATGTATTTTGCATACAGATAAAGCAAGTGTAGCAAAATATTAAGTGGTGAATCTAGCTGACAGGTATATGTGATGGGCAATTTTTTCAACTTTTATGGAAAAGTGAAATTTTTCAA